GGCATCTGTTTCGGTTGCCTCCTGGGCGCCTTCCTAGGGAGGTGTTTCGGGCATGTCCCACTGGGAGGAGGCCCCGGGGAAAACCCAGGACACGCTGGAGGGACTATGTCCCTCAGCTGGTCTGGGAACGCCTTGGCACTCCCCCGGAGGAGCTGGAGGAAGTGTCTGGAGGGAGGGAGGTCTGGGCATCTTTGCTTAGACTGCTGCCCCCGTGACCCAGTTTCGGATAAGCGGAGGAAAATGGATGGATGGACACCCCAGAAATATATTTTCATTATTATAGAGGAAAATATAAGACAAGCAGTTCTTTTTTATTATGGTCACAGCTCTGGGGAATAGCTCACATTCAAGGGGGTGTTATTGTCAGAGGTGTGAGGCAAGTCATAATAGAGGGGAGGTTTGGTCTCTGGAGATAGATTGGGCTCTCTATCAGCTAAGAAGAGGATAAGGTATATTCTAATGCAGTAAAAGTCACAAGGAGAGGTGGGGTTTGTCCCCTGTAGTCATGAAGATGTGGCTAGGCCTTTTGATGTCCACATGTGGTTTGTTTGCAGAGGATGGTGTGATGAGGTTTCACCCTAAAACTGTCTTTTAAACACAAAGCAGAGCTAGAGTCTGTGTGTTTGGGGGTAGTGAGATGGCATACAGTCTTCCAGCTGTAGGGGAAGTCATCCAGGAGGCAGGATTATTTGCATACAAAGGGCCCCTGTAGTTGCACAGTCAGAGCAGGATGCTGGGGGTTGGTGGGGTCTGCTCCTCAATGCCTGGAAATCAAATTTAGTTATTAATTATGAATATTATGTGTTCCTCAGAATAAAACATCTCTTCAGAAGGTCAACTTTGTACTTGTGGGCACAGCACGAGACACGTGCATAACACAAAATAGAAACACAAGTTATTTTTTTATTGATAATTGGTTTAATTAAACACTTGATTCCCTAATGATTTATCATCTAATAGTTTGAACACATGCTGGACATGGTCATATACAGCTCTGACATTGAGCCTACATATAAAAATAATTCAGTGTGCTGTATTCTGCTTATTTTATTAATAATCAGTCATTTCACAATTGGCCAGCTGTAGACAAGTCTCTTGTCCTATGAAACAGCATGTTGAAGAAACAGAAAATGGTATAAAATAAAATAATAAGCCACAGGGCTGTTGTTGTTCCAGGTTGTTCCCTAACTGGAGGGTCAGCGGTTTGATCCCCGGCTTCTCCAGTCCACATGTTGAAGTGTCATTGAGCAAGACATTAAACCCCTTGTTGCTCTCGATGATGGCACTGAAATATGAATGTGTGAGCACTTGTGTGTGTATGAATGGGAGATAGTGCAAGGTGATCTGAGTGTGCATAAAAAAGCGCTGTATAAGTATAAGACCATTTACCATTACCACTCGGTGAACACACTCAAATCTTAAAGGCTACTGTAGAAGGCATGAAACAGGGGTGGTATGTGTGTGTGTGTGTGTGTTGGGGAGGGCAGGGGGTGTAGAACTTCATCTGTCATACAGGTTTTCTTTCCCCCACGTGGATCATTGAGGCCCCCTCTGCTTAGAGTGAATGGCATTCATGGTAACTGTGGCGATTGATGGCTCCTCTGCTGGTCTATCCTTCCACATGTTCTACCAGGACCCTATCCCCTGAAGTCCCATGTAGGAAAAGCTTCTTTTATTGCACCTGGGAGATGCATTAATGACCCAATGAACTTTAACCTTGGGCTTGGATCACCCTGGCAGCACAGGACACAGTCATTGCGCTTTAAGAGAGCTCAGCTACAATCCCTTGAGTCTCTTAAATGCGTCAAAAGACTTTAGTTTGTGGCATCCTGTGAAATAAACACTTTTCACTTTCACATCTTTGATAAATCAGAACTGTCCATTAATAAAAATACTTCAGCGGTGCTCTTGTCAGTGAGTTTTTTTATAATGGCAAGATTACACAGCTTTGTTCCATTAGAACCTTGTCAATAAGCCTTTCATTTATTAACCTTATATCAGTAAAACCCTTGTTTCATTAGCAGACCATCTCAAAGGCTTGCCTTCATTAGCACAAGGTTGCAAACACTGTATGCAATTTCATTAGCAGCTCATCTTTAATGAAGAAACCCCCAGCTTGTTTACATTGCTCTGATCCTACATGATTGCCTGTAAGGATGATGCTGATTGGTTGTTAGTGGGGGGCATGCAGGGGGGTTGAGTCTGTCCCCCAAAGCCAATGTGATCCTTTGTGTTAAGAACTGTAAAGCAAGATCAAACATTTTCGCAATCACTGCCCTGTTCCAACACACCAGCCAAGGCATAATGACGCGGTGTGATAGAGAAGATATAATGACGAGACATGTACCAACCGTACCAGTCATAACAGCAGATCTTCAACCTGCACATACATGTCCAATCTGATGCAGCACTTTCATCATTTACTCCAAGGCCTTAAAAGTAAAGCCCTGCACTGAAAAAGATTTATGGTGGCAACAGAAAAATGATACAAACATGCCTTTCAAATCCATAGTTTAAAAACACTTTTTAACTGAATGTTTGATGATGAATGTTTTGTAACCTTATTTTTCGAAAACTGTTCAGAGTTCTGTGTAATTCATAGATCTGTGTTTACAATGAAAATAGCAAAAAGGCTCAAGTTTCTTTTTTCTTTTTTTTTTTGAAATGCTGAGATCATGTTCCATTTTTTACCTCTGTGTTCATGGTTCAGATGAAATTCCGAGTGTTTGAACCCCACATTTTAGCATTACTCTGTCCCATAGGAACATTATTCCAGTGGATGGTTTGCAGCGTTGGACTCTTTTTTTCGGGGGGGGGCTGTCTGTTTAGTTTACTTTAGATCTTAGAAAAGTCCAGCTTGATTGTGAGCCTGGGCTCATATGTTAATACCTTAATGTTCACTGACATTACTCAGAGCTCTATACCATATGTCATTGTTTGCCCTTCAACCCCTGTGTATCACCACCATTCCCGGAAAATTGATTGGGCTGATTTTAGTAGATGGTGCAGGACTTTTGGAATCAAATTTTTACAAGACTCTTCCAAGATATTTTTTCTTTTCTCACCAACAGTTCACTCGCCTCATTCTTGAGCACTGATACAATCCATTATGCATCGAGATACTCAGTTAGGCAAGGTACTTTGGAAGAAAATAGTTCACATAGTTCAGTAGTTCTGTTTTGCTATTTAGTGTTTTTTAAGTGTAAATTCTTAGTGCTGTGACAGTAACAAAGCACAGTGAAATTTTCTGATGCAGAGATGATAAAAATGGTTAATTGATTTAGATCTTATGTTAGCTCACTTTACCTCAGTATTTAGTTAGTCTTTAGTTTAAAATTATACTTTGACAGACATGGACATCAATTATGTGAAGAGTTTATTTTTTGATACTAGGCCTGGATTATATAAATTATTTATATGCATCACACAATATTAAACAACTTCACCATCATATTAATTATGGCCATTGAGTTATTATGTTGGGGTGATGACAGACAGATATGTCCAAATTAATAAGTGATAAACTATAGTGAAATGGTTTCATTTGATGGATAGCACCGAAGCTAAGAGGAAAAATATGTTCGCTTGTATTCTGGAGTGAAGTCATCTCATAGAGTGACAACTAATTTATTGTTTGTTATTTATTATTCAGCACTTGATCACACAAAGGCACACATACAAAGTCTTTATAATACATGTAAAACTGTTGAAGTCACTGCTGCTGTTTTGAGTTGACATTTTCCAACATCTAATGCACATGGCACACACGCACAATTGCACACCCTTATAAGCAGAAAACTACGTATCAGTATCCTAGAAGCTTATCAGGGGGAACAAATTCAATATCCTGTTGCCTGTTTTAAATGTCATTCTCTGAGTTCATCTGGAGCCACATGTTTTTCATGGTGGACATGAAGGCAGTGTATAGGGCTCAGAACACAGCAATGGGAGCTCCAGCCTGCTGTTCATATGCTAGACATATAAAGGTCCTCATGAGGAATGAATAAAGTTTAGATTTGTAGAGGTCTACCAATGCCAGTCAGATCCGTAAGAGTAATCTGGTGGATAAAAACGGAGTGAATCCTCAGCTCACTGGGGAAAGTAAAGTGCACACAGAAGTTTCCACTTTGACATTTTATTTTATGATTGACGCTCTAGCCTCTAGCCACTCTGCTACTGTAAGCCTATATAAGGAATAATTAAGAATTTCAAAAGGTTGTTAGGGTTAGTTCTACTGGGTTTGGTATGTTTTTGCAATGTGTTGATTGACAAATGGTTCTTATTATTCCATGTTTTTGGTGTATTTCCTTATTTTTTACAATATTCACCATTTGTGAATTTCAGGGTGTATTTCAAGAATATTTTTCCAAACGTTTTGTATATTTTTGGAAATTTAGATTTATCTATTGCTCTTCCTCTTTGAATGATGTTGAGTGCAGGCCCAGAGGGGGCACAGCCTGCTCAGTTGCTTCATTGTGCCAGATAATGACTTCCGTATTTAAAATGACCTCTTTGACCCCAGAGATCCCCTAGACCCCCTAGAGGCACTTGGGCCTAATCTGGCCTTTTGCCTGCACAGAGCTGCTAACCTCAGCCTTGTGTCCATCTGCCTTTTGTCTTCCTCCAAGCCAGTGTTGTCCAGCATTCCTCGAGTACCGTTGACTGTCTGGTGTCTTCACAATGGGTACGGACATGCAGCTGGCATGAGCAGTGAGGTGGTGTCGTGCTTCCAGTTGGTAGGTTAGGGTGAGGGTCAGAAGGCCACAGACCTTTTAAATGTGAGAGGTTGGCTGGGACTGATGATGCCATGATGCTGGAGGGAGCACCAAACAAAGAACCAAACAAAGAATTAAGACAAAGTCATTGTCTTAATTTTGCCATTTACCTTTTTCAACTCGAGCAGCTTTTGTTATACCAGTGGTCAAAGGAATCCTGTTTATTATCTACTGCCTAAGACTTTTTCTCCCCTGGCTTACTTCTTTACATCTCTTTCATCACAGGGTTCCTGAAGCCCCAGTGCTCACTGGCTCCTCCCATGCAGCGAGGTCGCTCAGGCGAGGTTTGTACCTGTTTCAGTGGCATGTGTCCCCTCCATCACCGTCGCCTGACCTCAGGTAACACTGATTGTTGCTGCTTGAGTCTACTCTGTCCTTAGTGAGCTAAAAATGCATTTGGGATTAATGTGTGTTGTTATCAAAGTAATTGCTGGATATATTGAAGAAGTGATCATCAGTTGCAGGTTAGCAGCAGCATTTTTATTTGACAGATTAGTCATGTGGAGGCTGCTGTTTCATAGTGCACCTTATTGACCACGTATTGAGAATCTCACCTCTTTAGAATCTCATTGAATTTAATCTGTTATGAAGACATCAAAGATGGATCAAAATAATATTTTTCAGATTTTCCAGATGTATATGATTTTATAGTCATATTTTTATTAGGGTTAATAGAGATAATTATCACGTCTTACTATTAGTTTTGCAAGTTCTGTGTTTAGATAAATTAACAACATTGGTTTTAAAGAGAAACTTTTTTACACATAGGCTTTTTAAAGATCTTACTTCTAGGATAATTTATTTTTATTAGTTTTATCATGGGGTGCAAAGTATTGCTTGTTTCTGCTGCACAAACACAAAAGCACACGCCACTCTGTGTGGCCGGGATCAGTGTGGTTTTTATGATTAATGGCATCTTTACATGTGGAGCCCCAGTGATGGACATTTTTAACAGAGGTGCTCTGAGATCTGCCCCCTTCCTCCAAACACCTCATCCCTCATCTCACATTAAGCAGCGTCTGACATCAGTGGATATTCTGAACTGAACTGTCTGGTATGTGGCTAATGAGCAGGGAACAGAGCTTTGCAGGGCATGTGTGTTAATGCTGATACATTTATCACTCCATTGTGAAGATTCACTCCTTCTGCAGTGGCAGCGCTCTGACCGACTGGGCTGCCTGTCACATAAGGAAACTCATACTGTATGACATATCAAGTAAACAACCCCAATAGAGCGGCTGTTTATAGTAAAATTAGTTTTGTCCTTTAATTAAATTGTCTCAGTACATGGAAGAAGTAGACATGAATACTCTTACTCCATTACTTTATGGTTGTTCTGAAAAGATGAAGATTTGTTCTCTTTTTGTACCATCTTGCACAGCGCTACAAATTAATCAAATTCTTGCTGGTTTTCTTGATTCAATTCCTCTTTACCCTCCTTGAAGAACTGTTAGCTGCATTAGTGGAATTTATTCAGTGAAGTTGTTCACTGGATTTAAAAAGGTACAAGTAAATATTATTAAATGTTCAGTTAAATCAGTCTTCCAGTGGTCATGATTTTTTTTTTTTTTAAATCTGTTTCCCAAATGTTCAAGCGATGGTATAAAAATACATCTTTTTGAGCAAATATGTGTTGTTCCTCTTAAGGACTTCAATCAAAAAATTTCAAGGCTGTGTATCATAAGTTCTACATAATGGCAACAATTGATCAAATCTGATCAGTTTATAGTGCAATCTAAATTTAAATAGCAAAGAGAAAATTCATGCATGTTTCTTTCAAGTCTCTATCAAAGCTGCCTTAAGGTCTTTCCATATTTAAAATCATTCCATTATATCTGACAACGATACAATCAAATTTACTATGCAGCCAAATGAATTGCTGCATGCATTTCCTTGGCTTGATGTAGCTGTTGTAGTAATTGTTTTGCGCTTAAGAATCAGATACTCAGTTGTCCTTTATAACGAAGGAGGTCAACCTTATAAAAAGTTAGTACACTGGTATATCCTGTTTGGTACTTGATACTCATATGCTGTTTTTGTTAACATGGCTTAATTGTCACACGGTCTATCTTGTATATGCAAGTGGCAAGTTCAAAGCAGAACGCTGAACTTGAACCAGCAGCAGGGACAATTTCTAACTTCTTCAGCAGTTTAACATCTCTTGAGAAACAAAAACACATTGTTTCTTACTTACTTAATAGAAAAGGTACATCCAAATATCTTATTTTTTTCCTTTTTTGAAGATATATATATATATATATATATTGTCTCAG